ACCCTCAGTTTGTTTCCTATAGTTAAAAGTCTCTTATGGGGTGCCTCGTTGTCTCAGTCAGTTAAGCATCTGCCTTCAGCTCAGGTCATGATCCCAGGGTTCTGCGATCAAGACCTGAGTTGGGCTACCTGCTCAGTGGGGAGACTGCCTCTCCCTCTCCCTCTGCCTGCTGCCCACCCTCCTGGCTTGTGCTCTCTCTCTCTCTCTCTGTCAAATAAATAAATAAAATATTTTTTTTAAAGTCTCTTATGGTTTGACTCCCTCTCTGTTTTCATCTTATTTTATTTTTCCTTCCCTTCCCCTATGTTCATCTGTTTTGTTTCACAGGATATAAAATCAACACACAGAAGTCAGTTGCATTTCTATGCATGTAACAATGAGGCAGAAGAAAGAGAAATCAAGGAATCTATCCCATTTACAATTGCACCAAAAACCATAAGATACCTAGGAATAAACCTAACCAAAGAAGTAAAGGATCTGTACTGCTTCAGGGACTTTAAACTTAACTGTTCCTCCTACTGGGAAATTCTCATCCCCAGGTCTTCCTATGGCTGGCTCTTTTCTACCATTCAGGTCTCCAAAATGCCACTGCCTCAGGGACACCTTCTCTGACCACCTGCTTTATATGGCTCCACTCTCTGACCAGTCACTCTCTATCCTGCTACATTGTATTTCTTTCATAGTACTTGTCACCATTATTTTGTTTGTTTTACTTGATTACTATGTCTTCCCCATTAGTATATAAGCTCCATAAGAACAAAAACTATGTCCATCTTGTTGATCAATCTTCAGCATCTAACACAGGATCAGGTACATAGTAAACATTTATTAATTTTTTCATGAATAAATGCTTTGATTATAGGTAGGCAAGGAAGATATTTTCTCAATTCCCCCAAATCTACAGCAGTTTTATAAAGTAGGTCAGGGTCAAACTCTAAAATATTACATAAAAAACTAGGCATGAATAAACTATATGATTTTATAGTGACAGGAAGTCTAAAATTCATTATTCTAATTATGTATCCTTAACTTATTGTGTTTTAACCCTTTCATCCCCTAAAATAAAAATATGTTACATGTCAATTATAGCCCAATAAAATATATATTTTATATATATATATGTGTATATATATGTACATATTTGACCCTTAGAATTAAAGCATATATTCTTCCTTCAGCAAAAAGATATCATCTTTGGAAAACTTCCTACTTTATGCCCCCACTATATTTTTTCATACTTCCATCACAATACCTGTTATATTTTACTGAGCTTAAGTGTTTATATTTATTCATTCATTAAGCATTTATTGAGTATCCACTACTGGTGTTCAATACCATAGATGTTAAAGATACAAAGATGATTAAGAAGCAATTCCTAGCCTCAAGCCTAGGAATATATCACTTAAATCCATGAAAAGATCAAGGGAATACCTAATGCAATGTGCTAAGTAAATTAACAAAAAATAAATAGGCTATAATAGGAGCAAAGAAAAAGTCATTTATCCAAACCCATAGAAAGAGGGTAAGGCTTCCTGAGGGTGATGACTGAGCTGAATTAGAGACAGCCAGATGAAAAGAAGAATGGATGATGCAGGGACATGCCAGACAAAAGCAGTGAAGTGAGAAATGTCATATTTCCTCAAGGATTAAGAAGCAAGTTCATGTGGGTAAAGCATAAGCATGATAGTGTGTAGGGAGAGGAGAGGCTGGGGAATAGGCAGGGGTCATACTACAGAAAGCTTTCCACGCCCCATTAAGCTTTAACGGGTATGGGAAGCCACTGATGTCTACTGTAGTCAAGCAAAGCAAGAGATGAAGTCCTGATCTAAGGCTAGGAGGAGAAGAGGGCTAATAGGAGAAATATTCACAGTACTTGGGGACTAATTGTATGACAGGTGGGTAGTTGGTGAGGGGAAGGAGAAGTTAAGACTCAGATGTTTTGAGCATGAGTGTCTCTATAGATAGTGGTAACAAGAACTAGAATCAAAAATAAGGAAGAAGAGAAGTCTGATGGAGGAAGCTGATGAGTTGTTTTTTTTTTTTTGACATGTTAAATTTGAGTTATTTTTGCATAAAAATATCTGAGAGTCATCAATATACAGAAGGTAGCTGAAATCAGAAAAGGAGAGAATCATCCTGGGAGATTCAAGGAAGGAGAACAGTGGTCCACAGGCAGGGAAGAGAAAGCCATGAAGATGACATACAGATAACAGAAAACCAGAAGAATAAATACAAGGGAATAAAAAGGAAATGAATGGTCAGCTAGAATCACACTGTTTTTTACTTTAGCCATTCTAGTGGGTATGTAGTGATAACTCATCATGGTTTTCATTTGCATTCCCCTAAAGACTAATGATGTTGATGATATTGAACATCTTTTAAAAATGTGCTTATTAGCCATCTATATATCCTCTCTGGTAAAATGTCTATTTATGCTTTTTACCCATTTTCTAACTGGATTGTTTGAGAGTTCTTTACATCTCTGAGACATTAAGTCCTTTGTTGGATATGTGATTTGTATTTTCACCCAGTGTGCAGCTTGTCTTCTCATCCTCTTTTTTTTTTTTAAAGATTTTATTTATTTATTTGACAGAGAGATAGCGAGAACAGGAACACAAGCAGGGGGAGTGGGAGAGCGAGAAGCAGGCTTCCTGCCGAGCAGGGAGCCCGATGTGGGACTCGATCCCAGGACCCTGGGATCATGACCTGAG